TTTCATGCCCCGCCTATGGCCCCGCCCCTTTTACCTTCGATTACCCACAGAGTGTAGTTTTTATTTGTTTCTCTTCGGAGACCGAATATTCATGCGTGAAACTTTGGGTGCAGTTTCCAGTGATCGCAACTGATACATTCATGTTGCGAAAGAATGGAAGAATTTTACGCTAAGGATTTCTTTGAACGTAGAGTCTCAACGTTCCATCAATTAGCACGCTACTTTCATCAACACTTCAGAACATGTTATTATTCAGGCGCTAACCTAAAGGCGGGGAGAATGAGTACTTTGTTGTGTTGCACGCGAGGCAGTCAAAGCTACGATAAGCATAATCGAAGTTTTAAATAAGTAGTAAACACCCAGGTAGGCGTGCACTTCCGCGTGGGAACATCAAAAACTGTATTGATAAGCAAGCGCTGCCCTACAGAGCACCCAAAGCAAACTGAAGACGGAAGATTTTTGAAGGGAGAAGAGGTTCGATTCACAAAAAGGGAGAAGTCAGTTTGGGAGCTATCTTAAGATGCGAGGACATTGTAATGGCACTAGACTTGAAACAACCGAAAAACGTGACTAAACCTCAGGCAGGGGGGAGGGGTAGAGGGAGGCTGGAGGTGTAAGCAGTTTTCATTTTTCCGCGAGCTCCTGTTCCCTCCTAGACGTAGGCGTGGAGGATGCTCCCCTATCTTGCTATAGCTCAGAGCTCCTTACACACCAAACAGATGCAAAGAAACATAGTCAGCTAGGGATAAGAAGTATGTTCGTACCTCTGGTTAAACCCTTCCCCCCCACCAGCTACCTGCTAGCACCATTGCCGTCCAAGATACAAAAACGAAGTGGCGTCCACATAAAGATCATAGCACAGGGTCATTCGAAGGATTTTTACCCATGTTCTACGCTGCCTTCTTCATAATTGTTCTTTGAGACACAAATAGAGCTAATCCTGTTGATTATAGTGCTAAGGGAACAAACGCAGTAAACCAAAAGACTTGCAGGCCATGGTTTTAGACTATAACCTTGAATGCGAGCAAGGATATTTGTCTGTCTATCTATCTCTCTGTCTCTTATTATTTGTCATTTTGCCCCTCCCTCCAACCTTTATTGTTTGATTCGTCCCGTTAGCTGATATCAGTTAGATAAAGGAGAGTCACTTTTAAATCAAATATATACTTCAAGTGAAAAAGAATAGCTGTTTTTGTGCCAAAGACAACTCACGATCTTCGAATGGCCACAGAACGGTGCAGAGCGCTATGCAAATAATAGCAAAATGTCGCCGATTTCGAAGGAGATAGCCATAGTGATAAGGTCGCCGAGCTAGACATTTCGCACTGTTCCATGACTTCGTACACAATAGAAAAAACGATCATAGCTCTCGCTCAGAGTTTGTGCGTCTGGACCGAAAGAACTTTTGAGGCACAACCCCAGACCGAGTTGGTGGACAGCGGTCGATAATGGAGTTGTGTATGCCGAACCGATTGAAAATGGAAAATAAACAAGGGAAGACTCGCAGTTGAAGCCATTCAAAAGCATTCCCTCCCTCTTTGAATAGGGAATGGGCGGGAGCGGACGAGTTTTCTGGAGTCTGCTTGCTCCACAACTCCACTAAGCCGTGCGTACTTGTATTAGCCGCTAAGTTGTGATTCGCGCTGAGCTGTGCACGAAGGATGTGGTCTACAAGTTCACATCGGTCGCCATAAGATCACTTTGTGAGGCCCTAGCGCCACTGTCGCGCACTTTAGAGACGCGACAACGGGACAACTGTGATACTTCCGGGCTGCTCTCCCATCCACAAAATAGATTCTTCGACAGGACCTCCGGCTTTTTCAAAGAAATCCTGCTTTGCTTTGGATTTGTTTTAATTTTAAGCTTTAACAATGCTGTTCTAGAGAAAAGGACATGGTAAATAGGTTAAACAAATTAGCGACAAA